TGATTATTGATTATTGATTGAATCAACTCCATATAGAACATAGCTCTAGAGTTTATACACTGTTTAATGAGCAGATGTTACACATTATACATTTAAGTAAAGGTAGCAAAATAAATAAAAAATATACTCCTTTAAATGAGAGAATAAATGTACTTAATTTCTTTGCACCAGCTCTGTGTGTCTGTAAACTGCTGCATGCAGTTCTTTGTCTGGAGTTTGGCGCCCTCCAGTGGCTCATTGTCTCCAGTGAGTTTTCTAAAAGAGCACACTGAGTATGTGCAGAATAATCCGCCCCTACTGATGAAACAACAGCATAAACTGGCCAAGCTGGTGCCAGTTTATGGCCAGTTTATGGTTAAAAGAATAGATTTGATCCCTGACTGTTAAAACATCAGCTTTTATCTTATCTGATCCTAGGATCTATTTTGGGTGAGTTGTTTTCCAGAGAATGGGCTCATCCTCCACGGTCCATTTTAACATAAAAGATTTCTTACATTTCTAAAATAAACCATTTTCTAATTTCCACCAAAGTCCACCCTCATTGTCTTTTCATTTCAAAGGTTTGAGTATCTGCAGGGTCGTTCCAAGCTCTGTAGGACTCGGAGCTGTCTGTCCTCCCCGAGTTCTTCGTCAGACTGTACGTTCTGCTGCTGATATTAATAGAGATGGACGAGATGTACCGGACAGACCGTGACACAGCGGCCCTGAAGGTCGGCGTTCTGGCCGTAAAGAGGATGAATATCTGAAACCCCTGAAAACACACGAGCAGGAAGACAAAGGTGACTTATTATTTATTTATTCTGGGTTCTGATAGTGCTGATTTGGCTCCCGTTGGACAGAGACAGGCTAGCTGTGTAAAGATTCACTGAGTTTGAAATCGGTTTTGTCGTTATAGATTTTAGTATTGTATCATATTGTATCGAATCATCTAGAATCATATTGCATTAAATCGTATCCTGCTGTATTGCACCAAATTGTTTCGTATTAAAATGCATCGTCCCGGAATCGTATCGCGGCCCATGTATCTGGAGAGATTCACTCCTTAATATAAATGTAAAATAACTGGATGGTGGATAACATACCTGTGTGGTTGTACAGAGGCAGAAGACAATGCTGAAGACCAGGTGGGCATGTCCTCTTGTGACGAGCACCAGGTATCCCAGAGTCCATGACAGACCCAGTAACACCGCCAGAGAAAAACTGACGAGGAACTTCCTGGTCAAAGACGACTGACGGGTGCTGCTCAACAGAACAAACACAGGTTGGTGAATTAAAGTTCTTCTAAAGCTGAACAGAATGAACGCTGGTTGGTCGGGATAGTACTGATACTCCAAGAACAAAGTCCGTATTCCATCAATCAATTCATACACTCAAAGCAACTAATGTACGAGAAAAAGGTTTATAAAGTAAAATATTAGTCGGAATATTATAAAGTTTGTTTTTGCTCTCAAACCTACTTGATATCATTTTACTACTTTTTTTGCTACTGTTGACTATTTCCCTGAAATATGACTAATAGTTCTTGAAATATTGCAACTTTCTTCTTAAATTATGAAGTCTCAAAATCTCAAATAATGTCTTCTAAGTGTCATAATTCATAGACGACACCACGCAGTTTGAGAGCGCTGCGATCTGCCTCATTCTGTCTTGTTGTTTCTGTTGTGTCTTGAAACTGATGTTTCTGGTGTTCAAATTTAAGCTTGTTGAAGTTTGATTGAGGAGACGACAGTTTGAAAAGATGACGAGAGAAAAGACGGTTGATGACTCATCTTTTAACAGCCGTTACCTCCTTAGGGTTGGGTCAGTCCTGCATGTCGTCAGAGAGGCCAGAACCAACAGAACAATGTTGTACATCAGGATCAGACCGACCGGAAGGAGGAAACCCCCAAACATCGGTTTCCCAAAGTGAAACTGTTTGTCCTTATCCAGAGCTGCAAGCCAGCAACTAGAAGATCAAACATGATAAATAAAAAATTCATAATTGATCAAATACAGAGAATTAATTTCCAATTCTCATTTCCATCCAAGGAGACCAAATTTTTGTTCATTTAAAGACACTTTCCATTTTAATAAATTAGTAAAAACAGTAATGGACCCACAATTCCTCCTGTCTGTATCCCAGAGGGTTGTCCACCCGGTAAGTGGCTCCCAGTGTGATCGCCACAACAATGGCCGGGACTCCTGAGTGGACACAGGAAGTTAAAATGGCTTTATTTCTACATGTGAGCAAAAAAAAAATCATATCATATAGATTTTAGGTTAGCTTAGCTTAGCATAGCATAAAGACTTTCAAAGAAAACTTTTTAACTTTAAACCTCGTACCCCATCCCACAGCGAGGCTGAGTTTACTCCAGTATGGAGGAAGACCACGACGCACGGTCCGGACCAGCAGCACCAGCTGAGTGCCATATACGGCGTTCCACGTGAAGGTAGCTAACAGGAAGAAGTGCAGCAGAGCCGCCACCACCGTGCACGAGCCTGCATCTGTCTCCACGTGCTCGTCAGACTCCGGAATGGTGTTGTTTTTGTTGTTGGTCTGAGCGTCATTCTGTCTGCTTGAGTTTCCGACCCCGGAGAGGAAGGTGATGATGAAGGCCAGCAGGCTGACGTAGATACACAGCAGAGCTGTCTTTGAGTTCTTGTTGTTCTGTCGCTCGCGAGAGTTTCTGTGAAAGCTGAAGAGAGGAGATGTTACGGTTTAAAGAAGAAGTCATAACTGGGATAAGCGAGTTATCTTAAAGGGTACGTAGGTGGGAAGTTTACAGCTTGTGTATTTATATAATATATTCTTACTTCTCTTTAACGTGGTGAATGATCGTTACAACCAAACCTAGGATAGAGAACGAAAGTCCCACAATGGAAATGGCGTCCAGGGCCTCTGCATACTCATAATTCTCTCTGAATGACTAAAACATAAACAAGTTTTCACAAGGTGGTAGCACAACAGCAATCAATCAGTGACATATTTGGAGGATAATAATCTCTTGTACCCAAATCAATTGGTTTCAGACCAACGCATTCACGTAGCTAATTGCTATCTGCTTGAAACATGGATGTATGTCAGTCCATTCAGTCCAAACCACAAAGCTGTATTCAGGTTCTAAATAATACATTCATGGCTTGAAAATGTCAAAAGCTTTTAGGATAGAGGGGGTGTGGTTGGTAGTTTTTCTAGAGCTTAAAGAAAACATTGATTGTATAACTGTTACACCGTCGTTTGGCTGTCTAACAGTGAATAGGGGACTCCTTTCAATATACTACACAGTGTGTACTTCTGGCGGGAGTAAGGCACTACTAATAACTATGCTCTGTAAATCTCAAGAGCTCGCACTCGACAGCACTCTCCCTCAGGTCATCAGAAACACCAGAAACCAATCAGATGAAAGGGTGTGAAGAAAATCGAAGGACAGACCGACAGAGACTCCCTCCATTTTAGTTTCAGCTTTACTCCTATTTGAAAGTTGTGATCATGTCAGTGTGGAGTTGTGAAATTCACCCAGAGAGCAGCGAAGTTGGTGGTGTGGTTGCAGAAACATCTCAGGAGTCCGTCTGAAGCGTTTCCTTTAGAGCAGCCGTCAGTGCTCCAGTCCTCCAGACTGTAGTCCCAGAAAACACAGGCAAAATCGTACAGAGACGTACCATTGCCAATCTGTAACCGCAGCACATAGATCAGCTCTTAACCTCTGACTTTACTGATAAATGTACCTTGTGAAAGAAGACAACACTAAAATTAAACATCAGATCTCGTTAGTAAAATTACACTAAAGCCCAGTCATAATTTTCATCACATATGCGAAGGACCATGTAAAGTTTGAGACCACTCGGTCTAAACGCACAAGAAGCACTGTCCGTTCATGTGCTAGAAAACAAAATGGATGCTTGTTTGGCAGAGAGACTGTTTGAAGAGATCTGTCTCTGTCCTTGTCCCTCTGTTCAGCCAAAGCACACAGTGTTTATCCTGTTCACCACCGTAGTTCTGCGCATTAGCTTTGCTGATATTTGCTAGTCGTCAACTGTTGACAATCCATCTATCCATTATTGCCCCACTTATGTGGGTTCGGGTCGCGGTGGCATCAGGTCAAGCAGGGTACTCCAGATACCTCTCGCCCCCCTAGCAATGCCTTCCAGCTTCTCCTGCGGGAACCTGAGGCATTGCCCGGCCAGATGAGCTATATAGCCCATTCAACGGGGTCTACCTCGGTGTCTCCTCCCCTTTGGTCATGCCTGGAAAACCTCCAAAGTGAGGTGCCCAGGAGGATCCTAATCACTCGTCTAGCTGGCTCCTTTCAACATGAAGAAGCAGCGACTCTACAAACTTCTCACCCTACGGCTGAGCCCGGATACCCTATGAAGCAAACTTGTTTTGGGCCACCTGTATCCGCGATTTCATTTTTTGGTCACTGCCCAACACTCATGGATATCTATATCTGAGGGTCCATTGGTTTAGTTAATATTTTAAGCAAAAATTCCCCAAATTCTCATGTTCCAGCTTCTTAAATGTGAGAACTGTGACCTTCTATGATAATTTACCATAGAAACTTATAGAATCTGTATGTACTGATTCAGTCAGAAGACTGCAGAGTAAACCTGAAGGACAGTACAAGTACCGAGACAGTCACGATGGACAGTCTTGTTTTAGTTTTATGGCCTTGTGATGTCACCGTGTTTCTACACTGATTCTTTTTTCACAACAACAGTTTTTATGGCACCGATAAATCTTTAGTGACCCTGCAAGTAAAAAAAATCAGTCATTAAATAATTAGCTGCACCAGATCTTGTGTGGCCAGTAAAAAGACCATTAAATGATTAATACAGAACTATTTAAAAGTTAATGGAAGCTGGTTGTCTTACAGTTGGTCTGAACAGCATCTCCACGTGTTGCGGCACCACGCTGCGCTCCTGACCTTTGACGCTGGCTGACAAGACCCTGATGGCGGCCCGTTGCCGTTTGTAGCGTCTCGACCTGAAGAAACGGTCATTCTGGTAGAGGACGAAACCCAGCAAGACGTTTGATGGCTTCTGACGACCACTGACAGCTTCTAAAGACACGAGATAAATACATTTACATTGTTATTAGTAGAAAATTGGTTTAAAACTCAGGAAATTTGCAGATTTGGGTGTGTTTTAGCAAGTTTCAAGGAGTGTCTAAACTTGACTCAGATGAAACTAGAGGTCGTCATTTGCTAAAAAATAAACACACAGCTCCCTAAAATAACCTTTTACAATCAACCATCTTTACGTATAAAGTCCTGCTGTGTAGTTTTGAGTAACTTGAGGCTGACAGTAGCAGTATTTTATTTGAGTAATACCATTTGTTAAAGAAAACTCACCTGGTGGGAATTGAACGTATATCAGGGCGTCGGCTATAAACCCGTTTTCCACCACAACTGTTGACGTGTTGGTGTTCAGCTGAATTCGGTCAGCAACGAAACTCCCAGACACCCCTAAACAAACAGAGAAACCCATTTTTATTGACGAAATTCTCATTAAAAGTTCTGGTAATGTTCTGTTGTTAGTGTACTTTGGTTTAAATGTTTAATGTAATAATACTGTTAATATTGTCTCTTTCAGGCTTCTGTAGGCCCCCAACACCAAGCTATTCCTGCATCTTGTGAGTACTGAGGCTTTTATTAATCACTGTGGACAAATAAATGACTTACATGAAAATGAAATTGAACTTTTAGTTATGTAACAACACAGAGTCCAACGTCAAACCTAACATTACAGCAAAGCTTGTGGAAAATATTGTCTGATTGTGCTTTTATCTGGATAATGTTAGCTTACTTGCTAGCTAGCAAAATACTGTGAGTTAGCTTCATCCAGACTCCCAGGGCTCATCTGGCTATTAGACAGAAAAAATCTTTATATATAAAGTGAATACTTGATAAAAAAACGACAAAGCATTTGGCAGAAATTGTATGCAGAGACACTTAAAAAGCTTAGATAAGAAATTGGTTAATTAATGATTAGCTGTTAGCAGCTCCTGTTAGCAGTTTACCATGGATGTACAAACAACTATCTCTGGATTACTGTGATACTGAAGAAACGTTCTGCAGCTGTGATGATTAGATATTTAAATAGTTTTACACACGCAGTTCAACATTGTTACGAAACTTTTCCTGTGAGTTTTGTGACGATTGTAAAAACTGCTTCTGATTTATGAGCAGTAAATTGTTACCATCGAAGCAGAGATACTATTAGACTGAAGCACTCTTGTCAGAGAGGAATAAAATGACACAAAGGCAGGACACAAAGCAGAATTATGACAGACTATTAAAATCATAAAACAATAAAACACCTTAGCTGCATCGTCTTGAAAAACCCGGACATCACGTCGACCACAAGATTTAGAGGAAGAGGAAATAGTGAGTCCTGAGACAGATATTCTAGTCAAAATAGTAGATCTAAAATCTTCACGGTTCTAGACACATAAAACCACCTCAGAACCACTGACCCTCAGTTAATAAAAGCTTAGAAATGCAGTTTTTAACAGCCAAGAGGTTGAACTGATCATGTGAGGCTTTAAACAGGGTCAGTATTTCATTACGCTGACCTGTCAGAGACGTGAACTGGACTCCCTGAGTGCCTGCAGCAGGGATTTGTGTCGACTGCACCACCAGGTTTGGTTGGACCACTTGAGACTGAGATGTGTTGAGACTGAGGCTCAGGTTCACAGCGAGCTGGTCCAGGGTCATCGTGAGGCTGGACACAAAATACAGAAATAAATGCAAATACTAATATCAAATCATCAGAATCATGTTCAGGAGAAAATACGTTTTAAATTTTTTTGTGCCCAGAAATTTGTTATATTTTCTAAAAGAATTTTCTCTTTCAGGCTGCTGTAGACCTTTGACCTGAAGCCAAACCTGCTTTCTGTGAGTATCCAGTATCTGTGATTGTGTTTAATATGGAAGCAAAATAAAAAACAAGATGTTATAAACTAACCTAAAGTCATAATTATGCTAACTCATAATTTAGATTTATTCTTTATTTTTTCATGACGTGAAACCCGTTTTTATATCTTCAAATAACTAATTAAAACCAACCTGATGATTAAAAATGAACACTTGGACAAACATCTGTGTGATAAGAACGACTTAGTCCTCTACTAACATGGAGGCAGCAGGCTTCATCTTTATATGTGTGAATGGTTTGATCATACAGAAATTCCTGAAAACCAAAGAAATATGGAAACCTCACATCCACTAAAGTCTGTTCAGAGTACTAAAACCCAGATTTAATCCTTAAATCAAACAACTTTTGAATGAAATATGTCAGGGGGACAGAACTGTGAACACATGGACAGTTAAACATGAGACATAGACAAACTTGGCAGTGATTTAAAAAAGATTTGGTTTACCCCAGAGTAGCGTTGTTTTCCTTGCTGTCGTCTGGAGTGCTGGCGTTCAGCAGCTGGCTGACTGTAGCTACCGCTGCCACCCTGACGCTCTGCAGTACAACCATTAACACCCACACAGTGAGGATCGCTCTCCAAGACTGATACAACAGAATTTGCGTCCAATAACTCGGCGTTTGCCGTCTAGTCGACCAAAAACCTCCCTGAGACTTTTGTTGCGACACTTCGTACCTCTGTGGCGTTCGGAGACAGCAGCAGTGTGTTGGCGATCTGAGCTGCTGCTGTGATGTTTTCGGCCGTCAGCTCTTCGGGTTTGGAGGTCAGAATTTGAGTGCTGGTTGCCAGCGACTCTAAATCAGCTGGGCTGGTAAGCTGAGAGGGGAAACACAGGATGGGTTGTGCACAGGTCGCCTTTCTACTTCATTACCAAAGTGCTTGGTACAAACTTGAACTGCTTTGGAAGTTTTCTTACATTTTGTTGTATGTCGCTGAGCGACTGGTCACACTGAAGGATCTTTGGTGGATCCTCGAAACTCGGCAGTCTGTTCTTGGTGGAACATCTGGTCGAAGCCTGTGGCTTCCCAGCTGTATGGAGATGGTGGGAGTTACAGGTACGGTACACCTGACTTATGGATGTTAGACCGACAGATGGATGGAGATGGCAGTAACTGGACTGATATCATGATGGTTAGAAGCAACTCACCAGCACTCGTTCCTGGATCACAGATTTGCTGAGAATATGCGAACCAGCCGATGGGTGTGCTTGAGAATTTGAATCCATTCAACTCTCGTTCTCGACAGAAATTCTCTGAGAGGACAAGTTTAATAAAATATAAGCTGTCTTGATGTTAGATTTAGTGATGTATGGGTGATGGGTTTGGGGGAATATAGTGTCACTTCATAGACGTACAGAGAGGAAATTAATTAAAAATCAACCTGTATTCAAATAATTTGGTTCTATTAGATAGGTGATGTAATGCTAACCCACTAGCCAGCTGGGCTAATGGTAGTCAGTCACAATATATCCCTGACTGTCTCCTGACTAAATGTGGACCATGTCTCTGTTATGAAGCCGTTAAATAAAGATTATCGTAAGCTAAGCAATAAACTTATAGCAGGTTGTAATTGATCCAATTATTGTGGTGATATGATTGGGATTTCCTCACAAGGTTTCACCTTTTTTAGGGTCCAGTGTGTAACATTGGTGAGGATCTATTGGCAGAAATAGAAAACAAGACTAGAATCCTAAAGCCATGCTAGGAGCCCCTTGAGGTTGTATTGATAACTATATCCGCCAGTGCCTACAAAATGGAGAAATTTTAGTATTCAATGAATAATATTTTTTTAATACTAATTGGACTTTGTGAGTGGATGTTTTACACTGACTCAGGAACAAATCATAAACAACTTTCAGTAATTTAGATGATTAGAAAATCAAGTTTGCTGCTGTTGCTAAACACAACTTACTTTGTGAGCATGTCTCTCCGGTCCACTCATCAGGACAGATACAGACACCATTCAGTGATATCCCACCATTGTCACAAACCAGAGGAGGAGGAGTAGAGGAAGTAGTAGGAGGTGGAATAGTAGTTGTAGTAGGAGGAGCAGGGGTAGTAGTGTTGGTAGGAGGAGGAGTCGTAGGAGAAACAGGGGTAGTAGTGTTAGTAGGAGGAGCAGGAGTAGTAGTGTTGGTAGGAGGAAGAGTCGTAGCAGGAGCAGGGGTAGTAGTGTTAGTAGGAGGAGGAGTCATAGTAGGAGTCGTAGGAGGAGCAGGGGTAGTAGTGTTAGTAGGAGGAGGAGTTGTAGGAGGAGCAGCAGTAGTAGTGTTAGTAGGAGGAGCAGGGGTAGAAGTGTTAGTAGGAGGAGGAGTCGGAAGAGGAGCAGCAGTAGTAGTGTTAGTAGGAGAAGGAGTCGTAGGAGGAGCAGGGGTAGTAGTGTTGGTAGGAAGAGGAGTCGTAGGAGGAGCAGGGGTAGTAGTGTTAGTAGGACGAGGAGTCGTAGGAGGAGCACCAGTAGTAGGAGGAGGAGCAGTAGGAGGAGCAGTAGGATTAGGGATGGCAGTAGTGGTAGGGTTGGTAGAAGGAGGAGCAGTAGGAGGAGCAGCAGTAGTGGTAGTGTTGGTAGGGGGAGCAGTAGGAGGAGTAGCAGTAGTGGTAGTGTTGGTTGGGGGAGCAGTAGGAGGAGTAGCAGTAGTGGTAGTGTTGGTAGGGGGAGCAGTAGGAGGAGCAGCAGTAGTGGTAAGGGCAGAAACAGGGAACACAGTGGTGCTGGTTACGTTAGTGACATTTGACGCTGATGGTGTTGTTGTGGTTGACTGTGCTCCAGTTCTAGAGGTGGCCAAACAAATAGCTGTGAGGAGACCGACACGTAATAATTAGTTAGTAGGAAGAAGCCATTAATAAGGTTTTATTTCTCTGATTCACAGTTTGATCTCACTAACGCCGCTTCCTCTCTTCATTCACTCTGTAGCTCACTCGACCGACCAATCAATCAACTGAACTTCCGAAATCCTGTCCAAAGTATGACAAACACATCCTTCTTATCGAAAGCTTTGACTGCAGTTCTTTCTTGATCTTTTTAGAGAAAATATACCGCCTGTTTGTTTAAAACTGACATGATTCAACAGTTGTTATATAAAACCCATTCCGTATTCATGGTTGTGATCGGCCCGGTTGGATCCAGGACTTGAGGAGGGGGCAGCAATAAAACATGAGCTCGCAGATTGTCTGGTTCCCAGGCTGCTTTATTTGTAGAAACAAGGTGACCACAAGTAGGAAGTATCCTTTACAATACTGTGTTATTGTACTTAAGTCATCTTTTCAGAGATCACTGTACTATCTTTACATTTTACTATCTCGTTACTTTAGTTCAGCGGTCTTCAAAGTGTGAGGCATGCCTCCCCAGGGGGGCGCCAGAGGACTTCAGGGGAGGCGCGGCGTGAGAAAAAATACACCGGGGAAAAAAAAGGAAAAAAAGTGTATCACAATAGATTGATTTTTAGTACCTCAGGTGTCTGTGGAGTTCCCCACCTCACCAAAAAGGCTGTAAAAGTGTTCATCCCCTTTACCTCCACTTACCTGTGTGAGTGTGAATTTTCCGCATTGACAATGGTTAAAAGTAAGTACCGGTCACGGCTGCGGGTAGAGGATGATCTGCGTTTATTCCTTTCTACAGCGCATCCCCGCATCAACCGCCTGTGCGCATCAAAGGCACAGACTCATTGTTCCCACTAAAATAGAGGTGAGCAAAATAAGGTGGCAAGATTTGCAATCGGTTTATTATTATATTAAGGATTTACGCACGAGGGGAGATCATTTTCAGTGTTTCAGCCCACTATGTAAGTGTTAATGTGGGATAACGTCGGATGAGTGAACGTGTTTAAAAAATCAGTTGAAAAGTTAAATTGTGTTTTTTTTTAAGTGAAGATGTTTTTTAACAAAAATATGTTTAAAAACACAGAAAAGTTTTAAAATGTGTTTTAAAAACATGTTAAAAACATACAAACATTTTTGATGTTTAAGATGTTTAAAAAAATAAAGATGTGTATGACATTTATTGTTGAAACCTTTTTTTAAGCCTGTGTGGAACATACATAGCAACATCAATAACACTAATAAAAGTAATGAATAATGGGGGGGGGGGGGGGATCCTTTCTTAGGGAGGCCCACTATCCCACACTTTGAAAACCCCTGCTTTAGTTTGAATGCGTTTGAATTATTGATTATTATTTTGCACCATTGAACACCTTTCTAAAATCAACAGACGGAACATGACCAACACACCGTAAAAGACTTGAAGTTGAAGGTCAGATGTCCTTCAGGGAAACATACTTTTTACTTTAAATAAGAATGTGTGGACTTTTTCCACCTCTGACGGTGACGCACATAATTGTTTTCATCATTTTACAGGCCTGGATGACAAGCTAAACTTACGACCTATGTCCTAAGAAGTAGTTTGAGTCAAATTGTCTTACATTTTACCACTAAACAACCTAATGCTGTAACTCACAAACACCTGCAAAGTGTTGAAACATCCAAAATAAAACCACAAACAGAAGGTTTCTTACCCAAAGTGAAAAACCAAAAGTCCATCTTGATTAACGGCTCCAGATCGCGAGTTTACAGTCCGGTTTATTAAATCTACTCATGTTGTTGTTGTGGTCCGATGTTCGAGTTGTTCTGCAGTGGGGAAAGTGTCAGTGTGCCAGAAGCCTACTGAGCATAATAAAGAGCACACAATAAAATCATAAAGCTCAACACAAAAGCTCAAAGTTCTTCATTAACTGACTCCACACTGCAGGCTTTATTATTTAAAATGTGTGGCTTTTCCTTATTAAACTGTGTATTAAGTAGAGCTATGTTCTATAAAGTCATAATTATGAGCTAAGAAGTTTAGATTATGAGCTTTAGTCTGTGCTGTGAATCCCTTTGGGCTACCTGTACACCAGGTGCTCTATCAGTAAATTGATTGGTTGATTGATGAACAAAAACACAAATCAAATCAGTGAGTCTGGACATGAAGAAGTGATAAATTCCTCTGATTTGTAAATCTTCCGTAGGTTTTATTATGGTTTGATGTACATGTTGTGGTTCAACCTGTAATTTATTTCTTTAGTGTTTCCTCTTTTCGGTTTATTTTTGATTATATAACGTATTGCTCCTGTAGAGCAACAATATCTGAAGATACAAACACACAATAAACAATAAACAATAATACAGAGCAACAAGAGTTTTAACCTAAAGCAGCTGTAAATTATGACGTCTCGGCCCTCCTGAGTCCACACTGAGGAGGCGGACTGGTTGTTGTTCCTGTAGACCAATCACCTGTCAGATATCCAGCTGATCATTCATTAACCGTTCACTGTCTGCTGGAGTTTGGCTTCATGTGATGCAACTTTTTCAAATATGTAACACCAACAACAACCAGGAAGCAGCTGATGCTTCACTGCTGTCTGGTTTAGTGTAAAACAGCTGTATTATGTAATTTGGTCCATTTCTGCTGCATTTTATTATATTGTTCTGTAATATATCTGGTTGTAATAACTAAGAGGGATTATTTTACTATTATTCCTCACGCTAACCCATTTTTGAATCAAAAATGATCAAATCATGTTTTTACGCCCTTCTCTTTCTTAACTCACTGTGGTTAAACTGTGAGTGAGTTTATCTGCCAGACCCTGAACTTTGACCTCTGGCCTCCCAAGAAAATGCTTTTAACTATCTGAGGATCAATAGATTATCACAACTAAACCTCCTGACAGTTAAAGCAAGGTAGTACTAAAGAAAACTTGACAACCTCAGTGGTGTAAAATAACATCCTGTTTGTCGGTTCATGACGGTGGCTGTTGATGAAGGTGAGTGATACCAGACTGAAACCTGTTGCTAGCAGCTCTCTACACTGCTGCTTTCTGAAGCATTTGAATAAGTCGACAGTGTTTGTGCAGAGGAGGCGGTGTGGTAATCATTGTCAGCTGACCCACATTCAGGTCTGCTGCAGAGCTGTTAATGATTCAACCCGCTGGCCTCCCATTGAACACATATGTGGGAGGTTGTGGGTTTTTTGGGGGGGTTGAAGTTGGACCTGCAGACTGCTTTTTATTCAGTTTGCAGACACCATGGCTCAGCTGGTGGAGTGTGTCCCCAACTTCTCTGAGGGTCGAAACAAAGAGGTCGGTTCTTTGATATTCTCAGTCTGGACATTTCTGAGAACTCTCTACAAACAGAAAGTGTTCTGGCTGATGGTTGTTGGTTTTAGCTGAAGTTTACCTCCAGACAGCGTTTGCTTGTTGCAGTGGCTCGAACAAACAATGTGGTTCTAAACGTCTCCTTTAAGACGAACAATTGATCATTTTTCTTACATTCCAGGTGATCGATGCCATCTCAGCAGCCATCTCCGGCACCTCCGGCTGCAGCCTGCTGGACGTGGACCCCGGAGCCTCCACCAACCGAACCGTCTACACCTTCGTAGGCTCCCCCGACGCCGTGGTGGAGGGCGCGCTGAACGCCGCCCGGCAGGCCTTCGGCCTCATCGACATGAGCAAGCACTCAGGTCAGCGGCGTCCTGCAGCAACGCACCAGGAAGTGTTAAACAGGACCTGACCTGGTGTGTGTGTGTGTGTGTTACCTGTTTAAGGTGAGCATCCTCGGACCGGAGCGCTGGACGTTTGCCCCTTCATCCCCGTCCAGAACATCTCCATGGACGACTGCGTCAACTGCGCCAACGTGTTCGGACAGAAACTGGCAGACATGTTGAGCGTCCCCGGTGAGACGCATTAATTCACACACACTTCAGTGATTCTGGAGCTAGAAATAAAACTTCGTTCCTGGCTTTTTGTGCATGAAACTAATCTTAAAGTTAGCGTTTAAATGACTGATCGTTTTGGCATTTGGTCGTAATGGATCAGGATCAGTCATTTAAACGCTACTGAAGCTGCTTATGATAACCAGGGTTTTATTTCATCCGCAGTGTATCTTTACGGAGAAGCAGCACGGAAAGAAACAAGAAGAAGTCTTCCGTCTGTCCGGGCCGGAGAGTACGAAGCTTTACCTGAGAAGGTGAGATAGCGACAACCAATCAGCTGCCAGCGTCTTCTTCATCAGGTTGAACTCGTGCTTAGATCCTTTATTCATCCAAAAACACTGTATAAAGAGAGTTGCCACAGTGCATTGTGGGAAATGTAGGAAGGAAATCAGTTAAACATCAGGAGGTGAAGACATGTGTTGTACTTTCAAAGTAAAAGTCCTAGAAAACAACTAGGAATAGGAACTATAACTTGTATTTTCTCCGTTGGTTAGAAGGATAAAACAGAGATTATTTGCTCCTTTCTCTCTTCCAGTTGAAGCGGGATGGTTGGGCCCCTGACTTCGGCCCTGCCGAGTTCGTGCCGTCATGGGGCGCCACAGTAACCGGCGCTCGCAAGTTCCTCATCGCCTACAACGTGAACCTGATCGGCACCAAGGAGCAGGCTCATCGCATCGCTCTGGACGTCCGAGAGCAGGGCCGGGGGAAAGACCAGGTGCATGCTGGGAGTCAATCACATTTAATTAAGAACATTCGGCAGTGATTCACTTCCTGGTTGTTTCCTGACTGTGTTGCTATGACGATCGGCAGTAGAGGCCGTATTGTTAATTATTTATTATTTCTAAACTTATTTCTAATTTTACTTTACTTTCTTTCTTACTTATTACTGTTGTTTGTATTAATTTGCCACTTAGTTACTGAAATAGTTCATTGTATTGTCTCCTTTCTTACATACTGTTGGCTGCTTATATATTACTTACTTTACAGTGAGTACTTATGTACTATTTTTACTGCTATATATACTTATTATTCTTAATGTTACTCTCAGTAATATTCCCGCAGCTGGAGAGAGAGAAATAATTTCTGTAAAAAAACAGAAATAACAACAAATACAGTGATTAAAAAACGTTTTTTAATGTTTAAGCCCGGGCGGCTGCAGAAGGTGCAGGGGATGGGCTGGTACCTGGACGAGGCCAACGTTGCTCAGGTGTCCACCAACATCCTGGACTACGAGCTGACCCCCCTCCACACCGTGTACGAGGAGATCCGCAGGGACGCAGAGGTCAGAGGTCACCACAGGTTCATTTCAAATATATGACTATATATATATCAAATAAAAATGCAGGTTAATTTAAAAATGAATTAATACGAACAGAAAAAGGTGGTGATTTGGTGCATTTGTACCTTTAAATGAACTTATTTATTATGATGGCAGCTTTATGCCTCCATACAGCAATGAGCTAAGAAAGGTTTTATTATTTATATTGATGTGTATATAGATATATATGGATGTATGTTTATGTATATAAGTGCAGCCTGTGCTTGTGTTCAGGACCTGAAGCTGCCGGTGGTCGGCTCTCAGATCGTCGGTCTGATCCCACTGAAGGCTCTGCTGGACTCGGCAGACTTCTACATCCACAGAGACCGACTCTTCATCCTAGAAGAGGAGCACAAAGTCCGCCTGGTCAGAGACCACATGAGACCACATGAGACCACAACACTGCGACAGGTTGAACTGACAGCAGACTGTCTCTCTCTCTCTCTCTCTCTCTCTCTCTCTCTGTCTGTCTGTCTGTCTGTCTGTCCTCAGGTTATCAGCAAACTTGGGCCTCGACTCTCTCGGCCCGTTTCAAACCGAAAGAGAGAATTCCATAGAGTGGTTTATACACAAGAGAATATATTTATATATTTATATAGTTTATACAGAGAATATATTTATATAGTTTATATACAGAGAACATATTTATATATTTATACAGTTTATACAGAGAATATATTTACATATTTATATAGTTTATACACAGAACATATTTATATATTTATACAGTTTATACAGAGAATATATTTATATATTTATATAGTTTATAGGCAGAGAATATATTTATATATTTATACATACATAAAGTTTATATAAAGAGAATATATTTATATATTTATACATATATACAGTTTATATAAAGAGAATATATTTATATAGTTTATATAGTTTATAGACATTATAAGTAATATTTTGAGTCAACACTTTGACTAAGAGTTTCAGTATGTTTATGATAAACAGAAGTATGTTGTTGTTGTTGTTATTGATGTACCTGTGCAGGTACATGGTGAGGTCACAGGAGGACAGCCGGCTGGTTTCTCTGTCTCTGCAGCAGTTTGTTCGGAGCGTCGGTGCTCGGACAGCGGCTCCTGGTGGAGGATCGGTTTCTGCTGCCGTCGCCGCTCTGGTACGAGTAAACACCTGTGTGTTTAATGCCAGCGAACGTGGACGGCTCAGTGACAACCTCTCTGTCCTGCAGGGGGCGGCGTTGGGCGCCATGGTGGGTCAGATGACGTACGGGAAGAGGCAGTTCGAGAACCTGGACGGCGTCATGAGGAGGCTGATTCCTCCATTTCATCAGGCCATGAATGAGCTGCTGCTCATGGTGGATGCCGACGCCGCTGCCTTCAACGGCTACATGGTGACATATTCATCCATTTATATATTTATCACAATTGATTCTGTTTTTATTTATTTGTGTTAATGAGGGGGCGTGTCCTGATTATTCAGGCGTTAGCAATCAAACCACAGAACAGAAACCCTCGTTAACTGAAACGCTGAAATACAGAAACAATTAATTATTAATTATTAATTATCCCAAAACTTTTAAAATGCTGATTCATTTAAAGAAAATATAGTAACTTTTATTTTCATATTAAATTAAATTGGAAAATAAATAAAAAGAATAAACTGGGAAATAATGAACTGAAATGTATTTATTTTCTGTTATCTGTGCGTATTTATTTGTCTTTTAATTAACATGCACATTTATTTATGATGGAGGCTTTTATTTTTATATATATTCTGTATTTATTGTTTTGTTTATTTATCTAGTTTCATTCATCATTTCAGGTTTGTTGTTGTTGTTTTTGTTGCAGGCGGCACTGAAAATGCCAAAGAACACAACGGAGGAAATAAAAAGGTGATATTTATAATCAGTTTATGTACGGAGGCTTTAGAATGAGCCGCCCTCCTCTGGCGGAGTCCGCCATGTTGGAGTTATTTTAACTGTGTTTTTATTCACAATACAAATAAAAATGTCAGAATGAAGTTAGGGTCACTTAAAATGACCAAAGATACTTGATCAACAATCAGTTTCAACAGTTCTTCTTTTAGTTAAATCAACTTCTGTGGTTTTAAAGTGTAATGTAAACTTTAAAAGTGACACTTAAATAAATTAAAGGCTGAGATATGAGCCTACTGTTTGTATACGGCTGCTTTCAGTAATGCAGTTATGTCAGTTCACCACCAGAGGGCGCTGTTGTCCACTTCAGAGTTCATGCAGTCCATTAACAGGGACGATTAGCATCGATAAGACTAATGTTAATAGGTTATTAATGTATGAGGTTTATATGTGATCATTTTATGTATTGATTAGTTGATCAGTTGCTATCTGTCTGCCAGGCGTCAGGCGGCGATGCAGGTGGGGCTGCAGCAGGCAGTTGGCGTTCCGCTGGCTCTGGCCGAGAGGATCAGCGTCCTCTGGCCGTCTCTCAAAGAAATGGTGGTCTACGGAAACATCGCCTGCAAGTCCGACGCTCAGGTGACGCAAATCCAACATCCTGCTTTTATTTAATTATTATTATTTATTTATTAACATTAATTACAATAATAATGACACATCATTTCCTGTATGGGGGACTAAAGCTGCTATGGGGGACATATTACACGACTTTTCAGGCATTATCAATCAAACCCACAGAACACAACCGCTGTTGACATATGACGAAAAACTGAAACAGATTAAAACAATAAAAATAATCAATAGGAAAATAATTAAATATGGAAACAAATGAATAAAAATTACTTTCTTATATCTTTAAATTAACCTGCATATTATTTTATAAGTGAGGCTTTTATTTCTTATTTACGTATTTATTTGATGGGACGTTAATGCTAATGTTACGCACGTATATGAGTCGAAGAGGACAGAATATAACAATGTCTTTATTATTTCATGTACTTATTCATCATTAATTCATTTATTGATACAATAATAATATTATTTTCTCTTCACTGCCAACAATCAGCAGAAACACTTTAAACTTAAAAAACCTTTAAAACCGTGTGTGGTTTCAGGTGGCAGCTAAAGCGTTGGAGGCTGCTGTTTTCGGCGCGTATTACAATGTCACCATCAACCTCAAAGACATCGCAGACGCCGCCTTCAAGACGACTGTAAGTGTGCTTGATTGATCTTTAAATCAATAATCTATAATCATTAAGCTGTGTATAAACTCTACAGTCTGTTAGCATGATGTCGTTTTGTGCTTCAGACTCAGGCGAGAGCGTCGGCGTTGCTGCAAGAAGCGAAGGAGAGCGCCGCCGCCGTCCTCCAGGCCGCCGAGGACAGAAGCTGAATTTATCTGCTCGTTGTGCAGCGTTTAACCTCCGACGCTTTGTGATTGGATGATTCTCGCAGCAGTGCACTCTGGGACTTGTAGTTGTGGCCTTCTCTTAAAGTTGTTGCTTGGATGCAGAACCAGATTATAATGATGCCACCATTCTATTTTTTTCAATATATACTATTACCCTACTTCTTACTCTATATATATATATTATCTCTTTGAATAATCGGAGGACTGAAGCGGCCATTTAAGATAAACGCTCGATTTGTCTTCAAATACACAAAATAACATAACACGATATAAAAGACAGGAAAACTGTGAACTAACAAACAATTCTTACTTATCATTTTACTGTCTTATTGATTCACCGACTTTTATCGCCTCCCAGATCCTCATGACTGACAGATCAGTCCCCACCATTAAAACAGCGACTCACAATCTCCCACTCTCTCATCGTACGCGAATATATCAAAACATCCACCTGATGGGACTCCTCTATTTCCAGTTGAATTAAGGAGTTTTTCTTGTTTGCACTGTTGATTCTGGTTGTATCAGTGTACACCCTGTAAAGTTCCACAACATTGCCTCCGAAGTACTGGTATTTTGAAGATCAAGGAACTAAATTTGCTGCATACCCTTTTATAACTTTGTTCT